TTACAGCGAAACTACCTCAGGAGCTCCCACTGTCGTACCGTTGGCTCACTCGGCTGCTGCCGTCCGCCGTAACACGCAGTGACTTATAGGAGCACGAGAGAACAGCCGCTGAGCATTCGCTGTTTTCGCAATGATGTTCGAGGAGCGACGAAAGTCCCTTGCGCTTTTCTGCCGGCTCCCGAACGGCAAGTTTTTGAATACCGCAAGCAGGGCATGCCGCACCTGCCACAAGTGCCGTCAGCAAAAGGGTGTCGCACAATACTGTCGTTGCACAAACCTCATCGCGCTGTCTTTCGTCTTTTTCGAAGAAGCCGAGCGTCTTTTCCGAAGCACCGACGAAAGAAAGCGCAGCGTCAATCCCTGCATCGCAGCCACTGTCGCTCGCGCACTCGTCGATGCCGCCGTCAGGCCTAGCACACGTAGGCGCGTTCTCGTTCGTCGCCGTCGTTCGGGGTGCTTTACGCCGCCTTCCCTTGAACTTGTGCTTCATTCGAAACTTCTGCGGTCTCACGTTGCACTTTTTCGGGCTTGTCATTGCGGAAATATGCGTAGACGCGCAGAAAAGCAGACGGACCAAATGCCGATGGCCGCCACCAACACAGCTGACAATGACACGGTAGCCAATGGCGATGCGGCTTAGGGTGCCGCGCGTTTCAAACCGCTCAAACCACGCGATAAAAAGGCCTCGTTTTCTATTTTTTTTTTTGCCCACGTACGAAACTGTCGGTCGTCAGAGCTGTAAGAAAAAGGCTGGACGCAACTTTCCCAACCGATCGCGATGGCGGGCGGCACTGCGACGGGAAGCAGCGCGCAGTCAAAGATGGCCAATATCGGCGCAAATTCACGAAATTTTGAGCCACCGCGATGCCTTCATACACATTTTTTTGCATTTTGCGGTTCGAATTTAGTTTTGAAATTTTCACAGATGAAAGAAGAAGGTTTGAAGATTACAATGCAATAAAAATCAGAAATACGAGAAATTTCGCTACAACGCGATTTTTCGACTCGCATCTCCCCTTAAGTGCAAATATTTATCCAGATATGTTTCATAAGTATTGGAACTAAGAAAAAAAATCGTATTGAATGACTAATTACTTTCAATCTCCCTTGAAACAAAAACCTAATATTTTAACAACTAATGCTGGTAGGCATTGCAATTTCAAGTAGATATTTGCATTTTGCATGTGTTGAAGAATATTTGTGCCAAGTTTCGCTACTATACAATAAGTATGAGTGTCTGAAAGGCTGCCCGGAAAACATAAAATTGTCAAAAAAAAAAAAAAAGCTTGAAAGTTTGGAAAGTTGGCATTTATTAGGAAACCATTTCTTTTGCATCAAATCGGGGCACAATGAAAAGCAGCTTGCACTGAATTCTCGGAAGACTGAGAATCGCACAGAATCATGAAACTTGGTCATGGCCTGCGCCAAAACTGCCTTCACCTTTACAGCAAAGCTATCACCCGAGCTGCCACTGTCGAAACGAGCGCTCGTTCCTTTGTCCCTGGCCGAAGTAGTATGTCTCGACGCGTGCATAAATGAAAGTGTAGGTTCAGGGCAATCGGTATTTTTACAGCACAGTTACGGAATGCCGAAAGCACTTTGCGCTTTCCAGCTACATCTCGGACGCAGAGTTTCCATTCGCAGCAGGTTGGGCATTGCGTACACGCCGCAAGGGCAGTCAGCGCATCGATTTGGCAAAGCAACGTGTTGGCAGTGGCAGCACTTACTGGTCTACGTTCACTCACAAAGAATCCGCTCTTCATTTGGGATGCACTGACGAATTCCACGGCAATGACTATTTTACAACCATTGTCGCGGCGTTCGGTGTCAGTGTTAGGCCTATTTGAAGTCGGAGCGTCGAGGAAGTTCGTTGGCGGTGACAACGGCGTTCACTGTCACTTTGGGAAGCCGCTTCCCTCGATACTTAAGGGGAGTTCTGAACTTTCGATAATCTAGGCTGCACTTCTTGGGGCTTGCCACGATGCAAAACTGCAGAGAAACGCCAAACAACTCGATTGCAACGTCCGAGGCTTCGCTCTTTTGCCGGAAAGATAGAAGGGGGAGGAGGCGGAGCGCGCCGTCGACCAATGGCAGCCTCGCACTGCTTGCTGCGATATTAAAAATGTGATGTATGCGATATTTTTCTTTTTTTTGTTTATTCTCTGTGAAGATACCAGACTGGCTACTAGTGAATCGTGAAGGGGAAGGCCTTCACAGCGTGCGTGCACGATTTCAAATGGTGGCTAAATTGTCGCTTTCGCGACAGCACAACATGAACGCCATTTTTGGAGACTTTTGCGCATTTCTCACGTCACTACTCGCCACTTGGAAGCATTTTTAGATAATTTCTCGCGCAAATTTCAACTTCTTGATCCGCGTCCCCTTCCCCTTAATTTCTTCAAATTCCCTGAAGGAATGAATAAATCGTGACAGGCTGACATTGCAAAAAGCATGCAACATGCTGCCCGCACGTCACTGGTGTGTTGCAGCGAAGCATGTTTTGTTTTCCACAGGTGCATATTTCAGTTGGTCATGAGATACTTTTTTTTTTTTTTTTTCGTGCTGGAAGTAGTGAGGCAGGGGTGGTTCAGCTACCACTTATTAGTATGGCTAGAGTACATTGCTTGGTGGCTGTTAAGGGCCGTTGTGTCCGCAGATTAGCGGCGAAATCGGAATCAAGAATTATTTGGCACACTGCACTCAAAGTTTTCAAATTAACTGGACTTGTGCTGAATTTATCCACTCAAAGTTACATTACAAAATACTGGACTGCAGAAATACTTTGAATTAAGGGGGATTTCAAAATAACCAAGTTCAAATTAACGAGGTTTTACTGTATATCTGCCATGCACAAATATTCACTTCAATGCATCTCAAGACTACAGCTGAGCCCGCCTATAAAAAGCCCCACTCGAGGCCGAGCAAAGCTTCTTTAAGAGCAGTAATTTTTGCTTAGGTCTGAATGTTGGAGAGATAAGAGCAAGAAAAGGTATGCTAAAGCACAGAATTGAATGTGAAAGACTCGAAGGTAAGCATATGCCCCGGATGCTTTACTTTGACATTACCCCATTTCATACACTTAATGATAATGTGTAGTCAATAGCACCAAGACATTTAATTGGCGCCAACTTAACAGCGCCCGTGCCACATCTGAACTCTTTATATGGCTTCATTTTACTTAGTTAAAAACGATGTACTGCTGTGTAGCATGACACCAACACACCATCTGTCACTGTACGGCACGCATACTGCATGCACATACGCGAGCTGTGACACTTTTCAAAACAAGACGGGCGGCCATCTTAGCGCATCGATACTATATTACTCACTTAATTTGTGCACCCCTAATATTTTGCGAACTTTAACAAAAAAAAAATTTACTCACATATTTAGCGACTCCGACTTGCCCGAGCCAGATCGCCTGCGCGCACACAAAGACTTTGAATCTTTAAGTGCTTTGGACAGCGCGCCAGACACACGCCTCACCGAGCAGGCGAGCGCAGTTCGACGGGCTGCAAAAGCGAAGTCTTTTCTTTTGAGGACTTCTCCGAACTATAGTCCCTAGAACACTGTACCCACACAGCAACCTATTGATGGATCAGCGGAACTGCTCGAGCGTTTGCCTCCCTTTATCTCCCCATCTCCACCACCATGAGAATGCAAGCTCACGTCACGGCACAGACTACTTTCTGCACCGAAGGCATGTGGGAGCCTGTCACCTTGTCGCGTGAACTATTAGCATCGTTCTCTGTGTTTGTGCTGAAACACACACTTGGTTGATTTCGAAGTTTAACTTTCGCCATTCGTCCCTTGTGTTTTTTCCTGTTCCCTTGCGATGAGCTACAATAAAATAAGGCGAAATTCATGCTCGCCCCCAAGTTCTTCACCTTGTGACGATCACCACAATCGGTAAGAGAGAAAACAAAGGAGTGTGCGCTTGGTATAAGTTTCCTGCCACTGAAGAAGGCTTTTTCAATTATGTGCAAATGCTAAGGTCCTCGGGTACCACTGCGTCGTAGGACCTAGTTTCGCCCCTGCATTAAGAAGAAAATGCTTCAAGAAAATGAGGCATTCGAACATGTTCGACGGAAACAAGGACGATGCGCTTTATGAGGGCAGCAACAGCAGCCGTGAACAGAATAACCTTTTAGGAGCTCCAAAATTGCAAAAGAGTGCACAAATTATGTGAGTAAATATTGACACAATGTGACTTCAAGTTACGCGCGCTAGCCGATACTTGTGCCCTCCAGATGGTTTGCGACGCACGAGCCTGCGGGGCCCAGCTGCGCGCGAACAGTGTTGGAAAAAAGAAGAACGTGGAAGAGGAGGCCGAAATGAATCCTCAAGACAACTAGAAGATTTTATTCTAGCTGTGTTATTATTCTTCCAAGCAAAAGCGCATGCCCTGATATGCTAGGGGTCATTATGAGCAGGCTCGGCTGTAATGCAGAATCACATGCAGGGCAATTCATGGATTCGGATGTTGCAAAAAACAAGATTGATTGATATGTGGGTTTAACATCCCAAAACCACCATATGGTGAGAGACGCCGTAGTGGGGGGCTCCGTAAATTTCGACCACCTGGGGTTCTTTAACGTGCACACAAATCTGAGCACACCGGCCTACAACATTTCCGCCTCCATCGAAAATGCAGCCGCCGCAGCTGGGATTCGATCCCGCGAACTGCGGGTCAGCAGCCGAGTACCTTAGCCAATAGACCACCGCCGTGGTGCGGCAAAAACCAAGATTATGCCAATGAAAGGTGCACTTCTAGATGGACACCGTGAATGTACCGTGCAGGTGGTCCCTTCTGACTGCTCTAACAGGTGCCAGAAAGGATGGCCATGCCTAATAATAAAGCGATAAGGGAGAAAAAAGAAACTGCAGCAGCCGCACAAGTTTGCACTGCATTCAGTGGACATGCTGTGAATGAGGATACTTGCGTTGCACGGGCAGCCAGTCCAGCAAGCCATGCAATACAAGATAAGAAAGACCATAACCTTTAGAAGGTGCCTCCTTTGAGAAAACACTACTAGGGTTGGGAGTCTACAGCCACCAGCGTGATGCCCTTTCTTGAAAGGAAGCTTGCAAGTCTCTTTGCAGGCGCGCACGATCCAAGCACAGCCGCGGGCGTGCATGCGTGCGTGCGACTCCTCCCTCTCCCGACCCACCTGCAGCTCACGTTCCACCCTTTGCAACTCTTCGAGAATCTGCTGCTTCTGCATTATCTGCTCCTCCCGGCTGGGATGGTTGAGCTCAGCTGATCGCATCATGTTGCTGATGCAGGCCTCCAGCCGCTCACTTGGCCGGAGGCCAGGTGGTCCCTGGCTGGGTTTGGTCAACTGGTCTGCCCCGCCCCTAGACCCCACAGCGCCCCCACCGCAGGACATTAAGGGCACATGGCTGGACGAGGAAGGCGGCTCCCCACTCGCCTTGCGCTTGACACTCGTGGAAGGGGCACTGCCGCTGGGCCACGACCCATCAGCCGAGGAGATGGCAGTCACGGAGGAGGAGGACGACGATGCCACTCGGGGCGCTGGGCACAAAAGAACACACGCACCATTGAGCACATTGGCAGACTGCAAGTTCATACCATACAGTTCAAAACCAGAGGGCAGATAACGGCCTCGAGTATATGCCTAACAAAATAAAAATGGTGGAGGGGAACAGCATTAAAAAAAATAATAACATTTACTGTCAAAGCACGACATATCTATCGAGCAAAAAAAGAAACATCCAAACACTTCAATAATCTGAAATAAAAGGTACCTACCTGAAGCTCCGATAAGAATTTGGCACATTCTGAAGCCTCTCAGATAGTCAAATATAATATCTCATATATTTATTTCTTTAAAGGGTCAGTAAACAACCACAAGGTCAAAAAATTGTTGTAAAGAGAAATATGTGCGCTTATACTTCACGAACATGCCACCGGAAGAATTTTGCGAATACGTGCCATATTAAGGAAGTTACAGGGGCTATAACATCGCTTTCATCTGGTTTCAAATTTTCGCGCGGCTTTGCCAGCCTTCTCCTTGAAGGCAGAAGGAGGGTAAGGCGTAGCCCGTTGTCGTAACTGCACCCACTTCGGCAATGTGACAAAATGTAAGCAATGGGCAACCATAGAGAACAGTGGGATACCATGGCTTCCGGTTCAATGCACCATGCGGGTTAGCAGCGACATGTGCGCATTTTTGTACCGCTTCGTTGGAAAAAAGAACCTCTCCATGCAAAGTCAGTGCTTTAAAAGTTGTTTTTTCGTATTTGCTGAAGTTGCTTTTTTGTATTTGCTAGCCATGACTGCAACGATGACAAGCTACGGAAGCCATGAACGGCAAGGAAACTTTTTTATTGCACGGAAATGATCTGCAATGCTTTTATGCTGCTTAAGGGTACTGTCAGTTTGGCTAGCAGATCAGTCGATACAGAAGACAGTTTTCACAGAGCAAACGGCAGCGTGTCAGCTACACGTTGAGCAGCAGAGGCAGCAAAGGAAGCTGTCGACGTTTTCTTTTTCATGTTTAAAGATTTGCGCTAGCGTCTTCCAAATCGATGTAATATTCGGTATTTTTTCTTATACAGTGGCGAATCCATGATCGCTGGCAAGAATCTACGGCGATACCGTGCTGCCCACAACCGAAATTTCCGCTCAGCGCTTCAATGGCCTGCTTGATGACGCAAAAAGTAGACAGCGGGAGGCGCGCGCGTGTGCGAGAGAATTTGTGCTGTTGCCAATGGCAACTGTTCAGGAGACCAATGGCGCTCCCTCGTTTGTGTCACGTGGCTCGCGCAGCCAGTCAGGCTTCAGCGTGGGACCTTCGGGACTTTGCTTTTTATGCGTTTCTTTTCGCCTGCAGACGGTGGCTGACGCAGAAAACTTGAAGCCGGAGGCACAATCTCTCAGACGAGACAAAGATGGCGGCTTTCGGTTGCGCCGTTGCCATGTTACCGTGGCTTGAAAAACACACTTTTTTCATGACTTCCACGTTTTTATGCGCCGCATTAGGCGACAATATAATGTTTTAAAGCACTTCTACGCGGTTTCCGAGAATGGTATTTTTGAATCTGAGAGATAACAGGTTATGAAAATTTAAAATCGGATTTTTGAAAAATCGCTTTTTTGGCCATTTTTCGCGATTCGAAAGCCGCGTCCCCCCTTAATGAAAGCTAAATAAATGGAGGGTTCACAATGTAGTGGCGCATGTGCAGTGAGCTAACACACGAGGGGAAAGTTTCAGAAGACTTACATTTATTCACAAATCACAGGACATATGCCATTAATTGAAGTAATCAGTGATGCACGATGTGGGGATCTGAGGCGCGCCTGCGACCATTTCGCAGGCGTTCCGCTGCACGGCCACACCCTTTTGCTTTTCCTGCTCTGATAACGACGCGTGGCGATAGATGGCGCCACGTGCAGATGGCGCCACGTGCGGGCACGGCACGTGGCGCCATCTATCATTTTTTTTTCCTCTCTCTCTTCGCACGCAGCATTGAAAGGAGAAGGGTCTTTACGTGGCAGGGACGGAAAAGGGAGAAGCATGGCACAGGTGCATCGCAGATCAGCATTTGAAAGAGAGCAAACATTGCACCGCAGCATTTTCTTTTTCTTTTCTTTCACATGCAGCGTTGAGGTGTCAGAGGTTCCGCCGCAGGATTGAGCGCGGTGCTGAGAGCAAGTGCTTTCGCCTTCTAATTACAGGGCATTTTTGCCAATTTAAATACACATAGCTTTGACAGGACCTCAAATCAAAGCTAGCTACACTTTAGTACAGCACAATTATTTGGAAAAAATAACAATATAATGGCTTAGCTTCTAAAAGAACAATAAAACCAACACTCACCTCCAGCCACCTGAGGAAGGTAGGGGTGCCCAGCAGCAACTGCCGCAGCTAGTGCAGCCACTCTCTGATCTTCAGTCATGGAGACAACCTGCACATTGAAATACAGTCTCACTATGGGGACATTCCCTGCAGCGCTTAGCCCCCACGATGCCTGCAGCCAATGTAGCATTCTCCTTCCAACCTTTACTCAAGGAAAAGCAACTCTTGCCATATAATTATGCATGGAGCTGAGCCCACAAATAAAAAAAATTTCTTTATCTTTTGCTTTTCATGTTATGGTCCAAAAAACTTGCAGTACTGTTATAATGCAAGTCATGAATACTTGCTCACATGTAAGATCTTACCAGGAATTCTCCCGAAAGGGATATTATATGACCAAGCAAACGAAGAAAGGTGGTGTACAACAATCTAAACAGATTTTCTTACTTTTCTTTGCTTTTTTTTTACCTATATACAGCCATTCTAGTCCTTTTGCATGGTACATTTAACAATAGTGACCTTTGAAAACATTACTGTAGAGGGGGAAGGACACAAGCTAACAACACAGCTTACTCCAATCAAGTTACGACAATTGGTATTGTGATGCTGGCTGGCGCCACTTACTGCGGCGAGCAGAACACTGTGTGACGAGAGCAGAGCTGGGGACTGTTTTAAAAAGGAATAAACAGTTATGCTATGTTCGCCATGAGCTACGGTTACTACCGCCTCGGCTCCACTTCTTTCGGCAATATGTAAGAAACAGGCAACGAGGGTGCACCGAACTCGACCATGCCTACCTTTGGTAGGATCGAAGTGTTCGAGGGGGAAGGCGAGTTCTGGCCTGCTTACATGAGGCACGACCACGAGTTCTTCAAGGCCAACGATGTTGTGCCAGCAACAAAGGGTCAATATTTTTTAGCTGCTGTGGACCTCCTACCTATGCACAACTACGTAATCTAGTGAATCCGGTAACGCCCCAAGACAAAACGCTCGACGGGATACTGGTCGTACTTGGCAGGCACTACGCCCTTACACAATCCGTCACGCGCAACGGTTTCACTTCAATTTGAGGGGGCATTCTGAAGGAGAAGCAGTAAGCAACTTCGTTGGGGCGAAGTAAATGTAAAGTGCACGATGAAGTCAGCATTTGCACATAGAGAATGCCAAGGTTCAAATCTATCTCATTAGCCAATAGGAGTATACTTCTTACAGCAACATTGCAACACAACACCAGTTTTTTCCCACATCTGCGAGTTCAAGTTCATGGGGCACTACTGCACTGCACTGCAAATTATTGCAAAACCACCATCACCCGCCCTGTCATTATATACCCTAGTTTTACCCTCAAACTCCTTTCTCAATGATAAATAGCAAACAAGAAACACTAGTTCAGGCTGAACTCTCCGGCTTTGCATCATTCACTCTTGAAAGTGTTAGCAGAGACTAGAGTACCAAGCATGCCTAGCATATTTAAGTGCAGAGAAACCAGGAATGCTCGAGGAAGGTACAATATATGACCAAACAAACGAAGAAAGATGGTGTACAACCATCTAAACAGCTTTTCTTATTTTTGTTTGTCATGCCACAAAAGCTCTACCTCAACTGCAGGGGAAGGAGCCGCTGCTGTGGTTGCCGAAGCCGTTGACGTCACGGCTGCAGCCGCTGCTGCAGCTGCCGCTGCTGCAGCTGTGCCAAGGTTAGGGTAATCCAGCAGGAGCTGCACGACCGCCGTATGCCCTCCCTTGGAGGCCTCAATGAGCATGGTGGAATTGTCCTTGAGCCTGTGGCTGGGGTCCGCTCCATGAGCGAGTAGCAGCTCCACCACTGACAGGTGACCACCCGCACAGGCCAGTGACAAGGGTGTGTGGTCGTTGCTGCTGGTCGGCCGATTGGGGTCTGCGCCACGGTTGAGCAAGAACTGCACCGTGCACAGATGGCCAGCACGGCTTGCTTTCATCAGTGGTGTCCGGCCGCCCTCGGACTCGTGCTCCTGCGGGTGATGGCAGCATTGCTGACGGGCTGTTGTTACTACTGGTTATCGGGCGATGTTGCACACTTCTTGTGGTTAGAAAAGATAAAAAAAAGTGCAGAGAAGAGAGCTCTCCTCATTCTCTTTAGCAACTCTTCCACCACAAGAAAGGCTGCTGTTGCAACATGCGAAAATTTATGTGCACTTTGACACAGAGTACATGGAAAAAAAGAGCCGCTAAAGAAAACATCAGACAATCTATTGTACTCACCAAGTCAGCATTAGCTTGGAGCAACAAGTCGGCAACATCCGTGTGGCCATTTTCGCAGGCATACGTCAAAGCAGTGTCCCCGGTAGCAGTCTTGGCATTTACACATGCCCCTGCACACAACACAGATTGTGATTGGCAAACAAGGCCCTGTGTAGACTCACCACCACGTGCTCATCGAATGCTAATATTAATTAGTTACACTGCAGAGAATCTAAGTTTAAGGGGAGACGTGGCTTTCAATACCAACTTTCCTATTTATTCATGAACTTTCGTTCCTTTATTGCAAACTTTTCTGTGACACTACTGCATGAATTTCAGTGTACAGTAAAACCTCATTAACTCAAAGTCACCGAGACTGAAAAATCTTTGAATTAAGTGAGTTTTCGAATTAACAAAACATAACAAGTGGAATGCAAGAAACTTTAAATTATTGAAAGTAACATATTTATTCTAATTCAGGCCAATAGTTCTTTCAGAATTTTTTTGTATCAAACTCCAGGGTAAACTTAGGTTCGAGGATTTTGAAAAATGTGCCACTTTTCATTGAGAAAAGTGATGCAACACTAGCACCACTTACACGGCATTGTAGCCGTTAGTAGCCGCGCCAACACCTGGCTTCAAAGGGGACACAGGTCTTAGAGACGAAAAAAAAAACGCATTGGAAAAAGGCAGTTTTGAAATCTACAGAGGTATTTTTGCACTACTACACAAAATTTCCCGGCTCCCGAATGAATATTTTTGCCGTAGCATAACCTTATTTTGTTGATTGATTGATTGATATGTGAGGTTTAACGTCCCAAAACCACCATATGATGATTATGAGAGACGCCGTAGTGGAGGGCTCCGGAAATTTCGACCACCTGGGGTTCTATAACGTGCACCCAAATCTGAGCACACGAGCCTAAAACATTTCCGCCTTCATAGGAAATGCAGCCGCCGCAGCCAAGATTCGAACCCGCGACCTGCGGGTCAGCAGCTGAGCACATTAGCCACTAGACCACTGCGACGGGGCGACCTTATTTTGTCGAATACAGTCGAGCCCGCTTATAACGAACCTGAGCGTGACGCGACATCTGTTCGCTGTATCCCGAAGTTCGTAGTAAATGAAACGCAGCTTTTTAAAAAAAAGTTGCGAGTAAAAACAGAAACATTTTTGCCCCAAAAAGTCCCTAATGCACATGTTTCGAAGAGCAGAAACAATAAGGGTGGTCTCGAGTTCATTTAAAACAGCAGGCTGTTCATTCACCGAGGCCCGTGGCATAAGCTGCATGAGGCGCTGGCTCCAAAGCTTCGTCGTTCTCGCAATCAGATTCCTCCAAATCGCTCTCACCACGGAACTTCATTCACAATGCCCCAATTCGTGCACGGTTCCGCTGTGTCGGCATCATCATCGGCCGTAATTAAACCATCGCAACAGATGTCCCACCCGCTCTCCCAGGTCGGAGTGGATGACGCGTGGCCACAAATCGACGCCGCAGTTCGGAAGCTTCAGGCTCGGCCTGGGGCCCGATGTCGACAAAGTCGGCCTCGCGAAAACAGTTTGCTCGCATGTACCGTATTTACTCGATTCTACCGCGCCTTCGATTGTAACACGCACCCAGTTTCCACGAGGAAAAAAAAAAGTAAGACATCGATGGCAACACGCACCCATTTTTCTCGTTGGCCCGCACAATTACACCACTCGGGAAAACGACTCGTTTCGGGAGAGTCTTCCGTTTAAATATGAGGTACGGGGGGAAGCTTTAGCTTATCTGACGTGCAATGAAGCATTGCCATCACTCTAGTTTTACCGTGGCCCGATGTCAGCACAGAACTTGCTTCGCCCCCTTCTTCTCGACGGTTGTGGTGCCAGCCATGTGGAAGTAAAGAGGCGTCTGATCGGCATTCCCGATTTGCCTAAGCAGGTAGCCGTTGTTGTGCCGCAAGTTTAGGAGGAACCTCTGAAGACTCTGAACCTTTCTTTGTACTCCTCCGGCAACTTCCGGCATATGCCCGTTCGCCTTCCGAGGGAAAAGCCTTTCCTCTTCATAAAGTTAGTTAGCCAGCACCTGCTCGCTTTAAACTGGCTCGGCATTAGCCCTTTTTCTAAGGCTAACTGCATAGCCTGCACTTGGAACAGTTCTGTCGTCACAGACCGCTGTGCCGCTCACTGCTCAATCACATACTTGCCGAGCATCTCTTCAATTTGTGGAAACCGATCCTACTGTGGTCCACTGAAGCCTTTATCTTTGCTGTCAACAATCTTCTGCTTTTATTTCCGCCAGTCCCGCACGCACATTTCGGGAACTCCGAACGACCACGATGCGGCCCGATTTTCGTCCGTTTCGGCACACGCAATGACTTTTCTTTTAAAAGCGGCATCGTGGTGCCCTCGTCGAGTTTTTGGAGTCGGTCTTTCCATGCCGTCGATGCTAATGCACTACAAGATCACGAACTCCTCAAAACACGTATGAAGTGCTGCACATGGGAAACACGTAGGCAAAAATGGCTGACGCTCCTTGCCGACGCAAGTAGGGGGCAGCCATTTCGGCAATGCCGATGGCAATAGAATGACCGTATTCATTTTTTTTCCTTACTCGATTCTAAGGCGCGTGCGATTTATGACCTCGCTTAACCGAAAAAAAGTGCAAGTTAGATTCGAGTATTTACGGTAGTCGTCACCGCGGCCCACGAAATATCACTATCTCCACAGCTGAATACAGGGATTCCCGAAGTGGCAAGTTGGCTGCCAGGTGGTCAACAGCTAAGAGCAAGCGCTCCGCAACGCGGCACCTAACGCGCTGATTACGCTCAAGCCAAGCAGTCACAGTTTAGACGTTTCGTTGAGCGGTACGAAAAAGCGTGCTAGTCCTCCCGTCAGCCATCATGACCACACATGCACACCAAAAGCGAGCAAGACGTGCACATGCGACACACATGCCAGAGCGCGTGGAACAGCTCTAGGCCATTTCCAGTCAGAAAACGAAACTAATTTGAGCCAGCGTGGTGGGCGTCGTGGAGCAGTGGAGACGGGCAAAGGGGTTGTGATCAAGAGAGGATAGCAGACTTGCGAGAGAAGGGCAAGGTATTGCGATAAAGAGAGGGGAGAATGAGGCAGGAGGGCGACCTTGAAAACCAAAACACACGGGAAGGAGGCAGGTCGGGCAGCTTGCTTGAAAGGTCCGCGAAACTCGCACGTAGAAAAACTTGGAAAGAGTGCATGGCCGTCTGAATCGGTGCGCGCGGCGGTGTTCGAAGAATCGGCAGCCGTTGTCAAAAAATCGTTTCGTTACGCCGGCTGGTTTGCGTGGCCTCATGAACCTCGATATTTCGCGATTCGTTCGGCGCAAATTAATAGCCGTTTTCGCGCTTCCGCGCGCACATGGAAGGCATGTTCAGCCAAGTGCGAAGTGAGCGATAACAAGTCCTAAACACGAAACTAATCACAAATTATCAGAGTCGGTGGGGTAGCGTACGCGCGTGCACTAGACGCAGACTATCGGATACAGTCGGTGGCCGACAATGTTGGCAAATGGTCTGGTCACTCCAGGTCGGCGACGCCAACGACAGTACCAGCGATCAAAAACAGGGTTGATGGCCGACCGGTCTTCGAAAGATCGGTGGCAGTGTGAAAACACGGGCCTCGTCTGGCGATGCGGGGTACTCAGGGTAGCGGGGGAAAAAGGACAGAGGGGTGCGTACAAAAAGAGGTCGGGGAGAGCGGCAACTAGAGGGGCGCGGAGGCAGGGTCGGCGTTTAACAATAAGAATGTATGGGCACCTCGCCGATGCCTGATCAGTGGTCAAAGTTGGTTTCCCGGGAAGTCTGCAGATCGCTGACTCCGTTCGCTGTAACCGATCAGCAGCGTTCGGAGACGTTCGTTGTAAGTGCGATTTTGTGCCATTGAACCAATGTATATTTTGGCGGTCACGCGGATATTGTTCGCTTTAAGTTCATTTTAAGTGGGGCCGTTATATGGGGGCTCGACTGTATAGCAGAATTAATAAAGGCACTTTTTTCGCAAAACATAGCTGGCGCTTCTCGTGTCTTAGCACGGACATCTTGGCGTCGTTTGACAGAACATAGAACAATCTTTCTTCTTCAATTTCCCAACAACGCGGTTAAGTACTGCCATTGGCTTTCTAAAAATACTGCGCCAAAAAGAGAGTCCCAACGCAATCTCTCATTTGTTATTTAGCACACATGACCTAAGCTCGGCATACAATTGGCAGATTTCCTTTCTCGTCGTCTCCTCGGCGCTCATCCGTGCTGTTGTCCATGCACCATGTTTTCCTAGTGTGAGCGACTGAAGTGAAGACACACGGCTCGTAACAAGGTCCACACGAAAAAGGCATTCGATGCAAAAAAGGTGAGACAGGCACTTATTCACAACATCTGCAAGCGGAGTGTAACGCAGCAGAACGCCGAAGTCGTCATGACTGCCGCCGCTGAGGAGGAGGAGAAAAAGTTTATTCAACAGAGGAGTTTGGAGCACGCAGGCTCCCGGGCCCCCGCACGACCCCTTTGCGCTCAAGCGTTCATTTGGTGGTGGTCCATGACGCTGGCAGCCCGGTCGGCCGCCATGGTCTGCTCAACCGGGTACTCTGAGCGCAGTAGGGTCTCCCAATCCTCCCAAGTCTTTAGGTGCTCTAGGGCTCGCGGGGGAGGATCCGCCGGGCAGTGAGAAAGGATGTGTATAGCAGAAGCATGAGGTTCAGGGCAAAGGGTACAGGCTGAGGTGAGGAAAAGGGGGTGATAGTGCGATAGAATGAGAGGAGAGGGAAGAGTGTGAGTTTGTAGCTGGCGCCAGAGGGTTGCCTGTCGGTTGCTCAGGGACTTGTGCGGTGGGGGATATAGCTGACGTGCTGCCCTATAGGCCTGAGTCAGCTCGTTGAAAGTGTGCGCGCGGTCCTTCGTGAATCCCAGATCGGAGGCCGCGGGAACCCGGTTTAAAGAACCTCGGGCTAAGAGGTTGGCGGCCTCGTTTCCAGGATTCCCGCAGTACGCGGGCACCCAAATCAACTCCACTTGACGGGGCGGGGTTGCAGCGGGCGAATCCAGTATGCAAAAAGCAGGGACGTGAACTCGGCCTCGTGCAAAATTTAAGATTGCGGTTTTGGAATCTGATAAG